ATGATCCGCGGGCCCCATAGGGATGGGGTTCCCGCTTGAGACTTCCTCGCAATTCACTCACACACGAGGCCCAAGGCGAGTGAGTGAGTGAGTGACTGACCCACTGGTGATGAAGATGATCATCACACTCTCTCACGCGCACACTCATCATCATGATTTGTGAGTTCATGAGCGTGTGAGTGACTGAGTGCTGATGAGCCAGTGAGTGAGTGAGTGAGTGAGTGAGGGATGATGAGTGAGTGAGTGAGTGAGGAATGAGTGATGAGTGATGAGTGATGAGTGATGAGTGATGATGATGATGATGATGATGATGATGATGATGATGATGATGATGATGATGATGGTGGGTACCTGGTCCTGCGCGGGGTGTCCAGAGAAAACACAGTTATTCCCCGCTAAGCTAAGATGAGATAAGCAACGCGAACCTAAGGGAACGTCACTGGGGGAACCGCGGGGCGGATGCCGTGGGGAACCGCTCCGGGCGTGCCCCACTGCCCGGCCTTTAAGCAAACATAATAAAAAACCTTTCTAGGCAGAGCCTAGGCAGGGAAATAACAGGATTCCCTATATTTTCCAAAATGTCTTCCGGGTTATTGTCTCCCCCCCCCACTTCCCATATTTTCCGATACATCCCTGGGGAATCGACGACTACTCGTGTCTGTGTGTTTCCTTCCCTCCCGATCGAAAAACTCGCGACCGGGACCCCCGGGCAGCGCACCCCCCCTCCCGAGGCGCCCGCTCCGCCCCCCCGCCCATGGCTTCTCTGCCTCGGCCGCGGCTCGCCCGCCGCACTCCCGGAGGGCTCCTCGCCACCGCCCCGCCCACCTTCGGCGTGCTCCCCGCGCGACCTGCCGGCCCACCCCCCCTTCGTCTCCTCGCTGCCCCGCCGCGCTGCTCCTCTGCCTCGCCCCGCCGCTTCGGCCTCCGCTGGCCCGGCCTCTGCCCGACCACCCTGCGAGGGGCCCACTGCTTGCCCGCGCTCGCCTGCGCGCCGCTGCGGCACTGCTGGCCCGGCCTGCTCGCGCGCGTTGTGACAGTGTGGAGAATGTCATACCCGCTGACGCTCGCAAAGTGCGCGTGTGTGTACAGATATAGGTATATATATATAAACATACATACGTACGTACGTACGTACGTACGTACGTACGTACGTACGTACATACATACATACATACATACATACATACATATATATATATATATATATATATATATATGTATATATATATGTGTGTGCGTGTGTGTGTATGTGTGTGTGTCTGCGTTTGCGTCTGTGTCTGTGTCTGTGTGTGTGCGTGTGTGTGTGTGCGTGTGTGTGTGTGTGTGTGTGTGTGTGTGTGTGTGTGTGTGTGCGCGTGTGTTTGTGTGTGTGTGTGTGTTTGTGTATGTGTGTCTGTGTCTGTGCGCTTGTCTGCGAATGCGTGCGTGCGTGCCTGCGTGCTTGTGTGTGTGTGTGTGTGTGTGTGTGTGTTTGCGTGTGTGCGTGGGAACCAAAAAACAACATGCGGGAACGGGCGCCCACTCGCAGGAGAGAACCAACGGAGAGAGGAGAGCAATCGATACTCACATTGTGTAACTGTGGTTTGTCCCAGCGCCCCGAGTTTTCACAACGTGGACCCTGGAGGTCTCCGCCCACTCCAGGGGACCAATTTCCATCCTGAGTCGTTCCATTACGCTCCCGGGGGCCTTGCCAGGGCCCCTGCAGGCCGATTGCAACACAAAACCTCCCATTGCATTGTTTTTCTCCGTGAACGCCCGCGGTGAGCCGTCAACCATGGTTACACGTCGTTCATTTCTAATCGTGCGCATTTCTAATTGTGCTCGTTTCTAATTGTTCCTGGCCCCCTAGTGGCCAAGAAGAGGAACAGGATCGAAAAATCAGAAATGAAAGGATTTTGCCCCCCAAACGAATCAAATAACTTTCGAACAATTAAACATGAATCGTGTGCACCTCTTGTGGAGCCGTAGAACTTCTGCCCGAGCGCAGACGTCTCTGGATAATTGCGCGGAATCAAGTCTCTCGAGGCTGTCGAGCTGAAGCGGTTGCTGCACTCGAGAGCTCCCCCTTGTAGCTGCTCGAAATATCGGAATTTAGCACAAGAACCGCGCACAACGCAGAACAGTTGCAGAGTATGTTCCGTTGTTTGATCATACCTCGCGTAGCAAACGGAACACACGTCTCTGGAAGTGGGAATGCGAAACTAATGGTCGTAGCCTCATGCAGGAACAGAGAAAGCCCTGAACTCACTCTGGATCCCGCGACTCCAGCCAACTACTGCATAAGCGGTTGCATACTGATACGAGTTTTCGAAGATAGCTCGAATAGTAGACCGAAATTCGGTCCCTCGTGGGTGTAGACTGGTGCTGTCGACGCTGGTGAATCGATCGCTGCAATCCGTATCCCTGTAGATGCTCTAAAGCTCGGAACTTAGTAGAGGACGCGCAACGCAACAGAACAGTTGCAGGGTGATGCTCGAGGATCTCCAAGGATAGGAGACCGAAGCTGATGATTGTATCTGCGTTCGCGCACAGGCAGGGCCCTGAATCTCGAGATGCGTGCCAACAACTACAGTATTCGATATAACACAAGCGGCTGCATAGTGATACTAGTTGTTCGAAGGTAGCTCGAATAGCAGACCGATCTCAGGTCTCTCGAAGCTTTGGATCAACAAAAACAGCTTTCGAGGCTGCTGCACCCATTTGTGCAATTGGGCGCTCTGCATTTGCTCTAAATCTCGGGGAAAGCGTGATCCACCGCCGCTTTACTGTGGAAAATTCCCCCCCTTTTCCTCCGGAGCCCGGGGATCCCCCCAACAAAAATCTTCCCCCCTTTGCTCCGCCCCCAAAAAGAGCGTCCCCCCCCCCCTCCGAAATTCCTCCCCCCTTTTGCTGGACCCCCCCCCCCTCTCCTTTCCCCGGCACCCCCCCCCCTTCCCCTCCCCCCCTCCCCTCCTGAAAACCCACAGAAAACCCAAGGGGGCTACTACCGGTTCGAACTCCCCTCCCCCCCCTCGGAAAAACCCAGGGGGGTCACTACTGGTTGGAGACCGCTCCCCCCCCCAAAAAAACAACCAGAGAAAGGTCACTACTGGTTCAAACCTTCCCACCCCCCTCCAGAAAACCAGGGGGGGGTCACTACCAGTTCGACCCCCCCCCCTCGAAAACCGTGGCGGGGTCACTACTGGTTCGACCCCCCCCCCTCCCCTTCGAAAACTGGGTCTCTACCGGTTCGAACCCCCCCCCCTCCTCCTCAAAAGCCGGGGGGGGTCACTACCGGTTCGAACCCCTCCCCCCCCTCCTCACCGCCAGCAAACGACTCCCAGTCCCTACCACCGTCCGCACCACATCCCCCACTGCTGTTCCCAGCACCACTGTCCTCACCACCACTGTCCCCGCTGGTTCCACCACCGTCCATACTGTCCCCACCAGTGCCCCCACCACTGTCGCACTGTCACCACTGTCCCCACTGTCCCCACCACTGATCCCACCACGGTTCCACTCTCCCCACTTTCTCCACGGCCCCAACCACTGCCCGACTATCCCCACTGTCCCCACTGTCCCACTGTCTCCTCCGCTATCCCACTGAGCTGTCCCACTGTTCCCACCACTGTCCCCAGTGTCCCCACCAGTGTCCCCATTGCACCTTTGTCCCATTGTCCCATTGCCGTCCTGGCCACCGCCCTCACCACTGTCCCCACCACCACTGTACCCTCCACTGTCCCACTGTTTCCACGACATTCCCACTGTCCCCACACCAGTGTCCCCACCACCACCGTCCCCACCACTGTCCCACTGTCCCCACTGTTCCTACCCTTGTCCCCGCTGTCCCCACCAGTGCCCCCACCAGTGTGTCAATGTGCCCCCACCAGTGTGTCAATGTCCCCACTCTCCCCACCATTGTCCAACCACGGTCCCACTATCCCCACTTTCCCAACAATCCCCACCACTGTCCCGGACTGTCCCCACTGTACCCACTACTGTCCCACTGTCCTTGCCGCTGTCCCACTGTGCTGTCCCAACGTCCCCACTGTCCCCATCTTTGTCCCCCTGTTCCCACTGTCCCCACCACTCTCCCCACCGTGCTACTGTCTCACCACTGTCCTCACCACCGCCTTCACCACCGTCCCCACCACTACCGTCCCCACCACTGTCCCAGTCCCCACTACTGTCCCGCTGTCCCCTCACTACTGTCCCCACCACCACCGTCCCCACCACTATCCGCACCCCCCCCGGTTTTCGAGGGGGGGAGGGGGGTTCGAACCGGCAGTAACTACCCCGTACCCCCCCCACGGTTTTCGAGGGGGGGGGGGGGTTCGAACCGGTAGTGACTCCCCCCCTTTTTGCTTCGTCATGGACTGGGGGGGGGGGTTCGAACCAGTAGTGACCCCCCCCCCCGGTTTTCCGGAGGGGGGGGGGGTTCGAACCGGTAGTGACCCCCCGGTTTTCCGCCAACACGCTCTTTCAAATCTCGAGATCAAGTCTGCCAGCCAAACGCGCGCAGAGGGAAACAGTTCAAGGGCGAGTGCCCGCCTTATGAGTTTACCCCCTTCAAAATGTTCCGACCGAGGTGAAATCAAGATGGCGAGCGCGTCTAAGATCCTGGCTGTCCGGAAAAACAAAATAGGTGCCAAACGAAAGGTCAGACATATTCCAACATACTTGTCAACAGGGTACAAGTACCACAATCTTCCGTCGAGATGTTCCGGGCCAACTCGCCCGCCGGTCATCCCCTCTTACTCTCAGCTTCCGCTGCTTCGTTCCCTGGGAAGCTCTATACAAGTCACGACGCGAGGGCGTCTAGGACTGAGGGCCGCCCACCCCACCCGGCAGAGCCGGGCAGCGGAGAGGGGCACCGCTTTGGAGAAGAGGTCAGCCGTTCCCCCCGAGGAGCGAGGTTCCAGGCTCGAGGCTCGGGCAACCCTGTTCTAAGCTTCCCAGACGGGGTCCAAGAAGAAGGAGGAGGAGGAGGAGGAGGAGGAGGAGGAGGAGGGGGAGGCCACCAGTGCCCACACGGCGGGGTGGCCCTTCGACGCGTGCTCCCCGCGCCAGGCGCCCCACGAGGCCGCGACGCCGGCGAGGGCCTCCGAGACGGGCGCGAGGCGCCGAACCGCCTGCACGGCCGCCAGGCCCGCGGTGCCCGCAGGTGCCTGGGGGGGGGGGGGGGCAACGGGGGGGGACGCGCCAACTTCTTCTCTCTCCTCCTCCTCCTCCTCCTCCTCCTCCTCCTCCTCCTCCTCCTCCTTCTCCACAGACTCCTCCTCCTACTCCACAACCTCCTCCTCCTCCTCCTCCTCCTCTCCTCCTCCTCCTCCTCCTCCTCCTCCACAAACTCCTCCTCCTCCTCCTCCTCCTCCACAAACTCCTCCTCCACCTCCTCCACAAACTCGTCCTCTTCCTCCTCCTCCTCCTCCTCCTCCTGCTCTTACTCCACCACAAACTCCTCCTCCTCTATCTCCTCTTCCTCCTCCTCATCCTCCTCCTCCTCCACAAACTTCTCATCGTCTCCCTTCTCCTCCTCTTCCTCCTCCTTCTCCTCCTCCTCTGCCAACTCCTCTCTGCAGCTTCTGTTCCTCCCCCACTCTCCTCGACCTCCACTATCCTCATCATCTTCCTCCTGTGTTGCTGCTCTGCAGTCATCACTCCCTCTCCTCCTGCTCTGCAGTGTTGCCAACTATTGCGCGCCGACTGGCTGTCCGTCTGTCAGTCTCCTTTTCTCGGCTCTCTGAGCCGCGGCGTTGGGAGCGTCTTTGCTCCGGGACGCATGGGACACCGCCGCCCTTTCCCTTGCTTGTGGCCCCCGAGGAGGTTGTGGGGGCGAATGCCGAACCCAGCACCCAGGCTCGGCAAGGCACGAGGGGTTGCAGACCCGAAGTGCCTGGCTGTGATCCAGAGAGGAAGGGGGTGTGCTCGGGAGACGGCCTCAGGACCCCTCAGCGATATGATGTGTACTGTGCCACGCAAGGCGGGCCCTTCCCCAAGCCCCTGCACTCCCGGCTCTGTGATCCGCGGCGTCTGGACCTTCTTGGAAGCTCTGGGACGCGTCGGCCACCACTGCCCTTCTCCCTTGTCGGTGGCCCTGGCGAGGTTAGCGGAGCGGGGCCCGAACCACGCCCCCCGAGCGCAGCCAAGCATCAGGGTCGGGAACTTTTGCTCAGCGTGTCGCGGCGGCGGCCCCGACGACGCGCTACGCCCTGCGAGAGGATAGCGTGTCGCTCCGCTCCGCGTGGTGGGCTCGGGAAGGCTCGGGACGTTGACGCTCGGGGCCCAGGACGTGGACATCGTGTCGCGACGAGGCGTGGTGGGCCAGAACCGGCGGAGCGACACTCTAAGCCAATTGCTCGGGGAAGAGAGGGCGCAGCACCCCTAAGCGACGTGTCGCGCCCCCCCAAACCGAGCAGGGCGGGCCCTTTGCCAGGTCCCTGCCTCCGTGCGGATCGTAGGGGCGCCTCGTCTCCGTCGGCGTCGCCGTCGCAGTGCGCGCTCCTCTGCTCGGGGCTTGCTTCCCATGAGCAGTGTGACCCCCACTACCACCCCATCCTGTTCTTCCTCCTCCTCCTCCTCCTCCTCCTCCTCCTCCTCCTCCTCCTCAACGGCCGCCTGCCTGAGGCGCGTCCGTCGACGGGCTGTAACCGCTCCAGTGCTTGCTCGGGGGGGGGGGAAGGGGCATCGACCTGGAATCGGCGACGCATTGCCGATGGATCGGCAACAGGCCCCCAAGGTGGAGGCGGCCCGGCATTGGGCAGGGTGGGGCACGCCGGCGATGAGTGGGGCAATATGGGGGTCCGTGTTCCCCCCCTGGGCCAAGCCACTCTTCCTGGCAGAAAGGGGGGCTGGGTGAGCAACACCAGCACAGACGACACGCCGCCGCGGGGAACCCCTCAGCACGCCGCCGTGGAAGGACCGCCCAGTCTCCAGAGAAGAGCGAAGGCAGAACACGCTCATGGGCCCTTCCCCTCGAGGGAATTGATCCTGGTACCCAGAGATCCGATGTCGTGATTTCTTCAATGCGCGGTCCCTAGAAGTCTCGACCCATTCCCCAGGACCGGTTGTTCATTCTGAGCCGCTTTTTGACGGTCCCGGGGCCCGGCGAGGGCCCCCAGAGGCAGAAAGTTGAGAAAAATCTCTGTCTTGATTTTTTCAATTCGTTGGATCTCTGGGTAGAGGCGGGCCCTGGTCCTGCGTGCAGCCCCCGGGGACCAGGGGACCCCGGGGCTCTGGGCAGTGTGCCAGGAGGGCCCCATGCGAAGGCTGTCCAGGGCCCCGCTCCACCCAAACCCCTCCTCCTCCCCCTCCTCCTCCACGTTTCCCTCCTCCTCCCTCCTCCTCCTCTTCCTCCTCCTCCTCCTCCTCCTCCTCCTCCTCCTCCTCCTCCTCCTCCCTCGTCCTCCTGCTCCTCCTCCTCCTCCCCCTCGCCCTCCTCCCTCCCTCCCTCCTCCTCCTCCTCCTCCTCCTCCTCTCCTCCTCCTCCTCCTCCCTCCCTCGTCCTCCTCCTCCTCCTCCTCCTCCTCCTCCTCCTCGCCTCTCCGGGGCGAGACTGGAGGGGGTCCAAGGGACTGGACGGAAGTTGTTTCTCCGAGCGGTGCCCTGGGGCCAACACGAATCGGGCAGGCGGCATGCGCATCGCAAGCCCTATGGGGCCCTGGGCAATCCATCGCTGTCCGTCGCGTCCATCGCCCGCACCATGCTCGCCGTCCTCCGTGATGAGTGGCCCTCGGAATGCACGCGACCAGCTGGGCACTAGCATGCCCCCTTACGTTCCCTGGTTGGGTCGCGTTCGCGGAAGTGGTCACCGCCCGCCGTGACGCTTGCACCACTCCGCGGGGAAGGCAAGGACTTGTGTCTCTTGGACTTGTCCGCTAACGACACTGATGCTTAAACCACATTAACTTCAGGCTGGGGGGGGGGAGAGTACATTTCGAGTGTTGAACATGTTCGGTGTTTAGAGAAACGATGCCATGTTTCGTTCTTCGATCTTACCCCTTGCACTTGAACAACAGACGTATGTTTTGACACATAGACAACAAACAACCCGCGATGCTTAGGAATGCTTCTGAGCACCCCACGTCAAAACTGCCGGGGGGATTCTAGAAACTGCGCTCGATGTGCTCGTTGCTCGTTGTCTGTATTACCATCGCGAAGAATCCAACCATGTGCAGTTGTTAGTGCCGCGTTGTGGACACCGCTCGCGCCCTCTGGGCCTCGTTAGTTAACGAGCGAAGAGCGGTATAACATAAACTTTTTCGCCGTCGGGCACACCTGCCCCAGGGCGGCTGGAAAATTTATACCCTTACGGTGGCACCGCAGGGGTATAAACTTTCCGGCCGCCCAGGGGCAGGTGTCCCCGACGGCGAAAAAGTTTATGTTATACCGTTCTTCGCCCGTTAAGTTAGGGGTGCACTGGAGGCCGTCGGGGCCGCCTCGAAAATCCTGGGGGCACCTTGGGTCAGGGCCACTTCTAGCAACGCCCGTGAGAGGGCGGACCTTCTACGGATGCTTGGCCTGGGAAGCCGACGGGGTGGATACCTCGGCGGCGAGCTTGCGGGGAACATGACAGCGAGAAAACTCCGAAGGCTCGGAAGCCCCCCCCCGCCTTCTGAACGAGTGTTCGAAGCCGTCCGCGAAGACACATGTATATCCTCAGGAGGCCTGAGAGCTTCCGAGACGCCCCGCCGACTTCTGAAAAGGCCTTCTCCTTCTCACGTCCCCACCGCGCCCGCCGCCGAATACAGTGGAGGCCAGGCCACAAGAAGCCTTCCACAAGAAACCCAACCCTGAGACCCCAGGACCTCCACGGCTTTTTGGTGTGGGAACTTCACGCTCTTTCCGTCGCAAGACCATCGACACCCGAGAAACCCATGGCACCCTGGAGGCAAAGCAGGGCGTCTCCTGGCACGGGCCTCCCCTGTGTTGGACAGCTCCGAGCTCCGCGGGGACGCCCGAGCGTGGCCGTGCCCGCTGGCTCCCGAGGCCCGGGAGGATCGGCCCCCCCCCCCCGCGCGGCGAGGACGCCCTGGCACAGGGGGGGGTCGGTGCAGACACGGGCCGAGTGGCCGAGTATAGGCCTTGCCAGATCCTGCAACAACATGCAGGATCCTGCGCGCTGGCCTGGGTCGGTGCTAGGAGGCAGCTGCCGGGAGGACTTCGCCAGAGGGGTCAGGGAGGAACTGGGCCCCAATGGGGGGCTGCTACGCCAGATTCAGCCGCGGATGAAGCGGGATTGCGCCAGACTGAGCGGGATTAAGCCGGACTAAACGGGATTAGGAGCGGGTTTACCTCCCAGGAGCTGCATCTGAATCAGTGCACCCTTACCTTTGCAGGACCTGGCAAGATCTGGCGCACTGGCTGACCCCCGTTTGCCATGACCCCCGTCGCAAGACTCCCGAACGCGGTGCATGTGTATGAATGAATTCCGGCCTCGGTATAATCATGGAAACATGGGACAGGCATGAACTTTCGGGGATCCGCGCGGATCTCTTGGATCGGCGCTGAACCCAAACCCAACCCTGCGCGCGGAACGGAGGTGTCACCAGGGGGCCCAGAGCCGACCCAACACATCCGCGCGGGCCTCCGCCAAGCTTATGTTTATGTGAAAGCCGGCACAGAAGACGAGAAATTAAGTTTCGTCGACCCTGGACTTCGTATAGTGCCTCACGGCGAACGTGGCTCATCAGGATCTAAGAAACTCTCGCGGGGGGGCCCTTGGCAGGCCAACTTCTCCTTCGGCACACCTCCTGAATTTGGGTATTCCTCTTGGGCCGAAAAACAATACGCGCCACCACTCGCCGGAGCCCTCGGACACCGCGGCAAGCCCCGACGGATTCAGGAACCTGGGCCCCGGGCCCCTATGAGACTCCTCAGGACTGAGGACTGGGGCTCAGGGTATGAGGCAAGGGACAAGCTCCCGTGTGAGGCCCCTTGGCAGGCCAAACTTCTCTTTTGGCGCACGTGGCCATTCCTCTTCGACTCGGCGACTCCTTCGCCGCCCCCGACCTGCACGGTCGGCCCAGCCGGCATGCCGCCGTCGCCCGCCGGCACCGGGCTGCCCGCGTCCAGGGTGGGCGGGCCCGGCGGGGGAGCGGGGCTCGGGATGGGCTGATCTCCTCGGGGGGGGGGGGCGCTGCGAGGAGCTGTGAGCGAGCAGGCTCCAAAGAGGCTCCAGAGAACGACGAGAGGCTACGAGAACGAGGCCGCAGGCCACAGAAAGATGCCCATCACTCTGGCCAAGGACAAGTAGGTAACCTGGCCGACGGCCAGGCTGGGCATGCAAGGACAGGAGCGGGCCTGTGCGAGGAGAAGCGAGCAGGCGGAGGGCAAGGGCGAAGAGGAGAGAGAGGAGGCCGCGCTCCCAAGCTCGAGCTCGAGGACCAGGACGAACGCACTCCCTCTGGGAGAGGGAGCCGCACTCCCCTCGCCGCCTCGGTCGCAATCCCCTGGGGGCAGCGTCGCCGTTGCGATCGCCCTTTGGGACGCCCAACTTGGGCGGAGGACATCAGGAAGACCTGTCCTCGATCCCTCCTCGCTGCTGCTCCCCTGGAAGCCACTGAATGAGGCATATTCCACTGGGGGTCTCTGGAAGTCCCCCGAGACTGTCTGCAGCGGCCTCGGGGGGCACAACACATGACATACACAATCCCAAGCATCTCTTCCCCTCCTCCTCCTCCTGCTCCTCCTCCTCCTCCTGCTCCTCCTAGGTCTCCTCCTCCTGCTCCTGCTCCTTCTCCTGCTCCTCCTCCTCCTCCTTTTCCGTAAAAGTAGCTCTTCCCTGTCGCGCCCCGAGGCCAGTCGGAAGGGCGGGCCGGGCGTTTCGCAAGAGCCTTCCTTACCACTTATGATCCTGAGGTTGAGGAGGTGGCAGCAGTTTTACTAATGGAGGGCGTACCTCTTCCAGAATGTGGCTTCCCGCGCACATTCGTCTCAAGAGCTGCAAGAGTCTCACCAGCCCTTTAGGGCGTAGGTGGTCTAGGGTGTTGTGTTTTCCACCTGCCCCTCTTCCCCTTCGGGCAGGGGTTTACCCCGACTAGTTTGACACATCAGTGGCTGCTGCCCTTCTCACACGTTTGTTCCTCATGCGTGGATGGGGGGGGGGGGGGGGCGGTGGCCAGCAGCCACAAACGCGCGTCGGGGCGTGCGCAGTTGCTGGCGTAGCAACAGTTGCGGCGCACGCAGGTGGAGCCCCTATTGGTTCCCAGTTGCTGGCGCACCTGGCGCGGCTGGAGCAGGTGAAGCACTGGGCGCACGTGGAGCACGTGGTGCAACTGGCGCGCCTGGCGCGCTTAGGCCTCCAGGGTCTGGTGCATCTAGAACCCGTGGCGTCTGCGGCGTTCTTACGCGATGTACTGGCTGCCGGGTGTTACGTATGTGTTGGGCGGGCGAGTGGGAGTGAGCAAGACGGCTTGCGGGCGGATGGGAAGCTTGATCGCTGTTCCCTATTGATAAACACCCCCTCCCCCATCTGGCCGGCAGCCAACCAGGAAGCATGCGGGCACCCCCCCACCATCCCTGTCAAAAAACCGTACAACATGCACATTGCAGGGCCCACCCTGCCAACACCCTCCACGATCCCTGTCAAAAAACAATAGGAAGTGCCCGTTGCAGCAACATCTGGACAGTGCGCTGGCGCCCTGTGGGCAAGTTGAATTGTTTTTTGACAGGGATGGCGAGGCACCCTTAGTGACGCCGCTTTGTGCAGGACCACCATCCGTGTCAAAAAAAATGCAAAGTGCACGTTGCGACAACGTCGTGGGTTTTGTGCCGGCCACCCGCGATGATTTGTATTGTTTTTGTTGACAGGGACGGCGGTGGTGCCCGCATGATGATGCTTGCTGTGCGCAAGCCCAGAACAATGCTGACGTCCCCCCCACATCAGCATCTGGTTCATGCGGAACGGGGGGCATCACATGTTTTACAAGGATGGCACACCAACCGCATGTGGAGCCCGCAGCGAGCGTCGCGCACCTGGCGTCCGCTTTGGTTCCCAGTGGCTGTCCATCCAGTGGCGACCCATGGATATGCCGAGACTCGGATACCACTTATGTGGTGGGAGGGCGGGTGGGAGTGAGCTAGACGGCTTGCGTGCGGAGAGGGTGTCTTGACCCCTCCCCCTACCCCCTCCCCTGGACCTGGACGGGGGGGGCCCGAGGGGTTGGAGCGTCCAAGATGGCCCAAGATGGCTTCAAGAGCGCTTCGGAGAGCCCAAGATGAGCTCCAAGATGGCTCAAATTACCCCAAGATGCCTCAATATGGTTCCCAAGATGCTCCAAGAGGCCCCAAGACCGTTCCAAGTGGCCAAAGAGCTCCCCAAGGAGGCCCCGAAGAGGCCACAGTCCTTCCCAAACCACAGCGAAATCAATGGTTGTTGCTGTCCAGCCTGTTTCGCTTCTGATGGCCGTCCGAGGCCTCAAGATGGCTCCAAGATGGCCCGAGAGGGCCCCACGAGAGACTCAAGAGAGCCACAAGACGGCCCCAAGGCGCCTAAGAGCGCTCCAAGAGCGCCCTAAGAGGCGACTTGTGGGGCTCCCAAGGGGGGAGGCGAATTAAGGAACCACACTTCTTTGATCGAACTCCTCCGAAATGGCCCCAAGAGCAGGCCCCACGAGGCGCCCTGACGGCCCCACAAGGCCTCCAAGAGGCTCCCAAGAGACCCCACGCGAAGCTTCAAGAGGATCTCCGAAATAACTAACTCCCCCTCCGTCTTCTTATTCTCCTCCTTCCCGTCCTCCTCGTCCTCGCCCTCCTCCTCCTCCTCCTCCTCCTCCTCCTCCTCCTCTTCCTCACACTCCTCCTCCGACGGCGACGACGGCGATTCCTCCTCCATCATGCCCCTCGTTAGGTATATGACGGCTGCCCCCGCCCTTGTTTCTTCTGCTCCCTCACTTCCCTGATCACCTCAACTCCCCTGGGCTTCGTTTCTAGAAGGGCTGGTGGTGACACGAGAATCATCAATAATTGAATTGGTGGGGGGCAAGCCGTTTTCAAACTGTCGCTCTCGCCTTCGCGCCGCGCGCATTCGTTTCAGCAAATACAATAGCTTCACGGATTGAGGGCGGCTTCTTTGCAACATGTGGCTGTCGCCTCAGAGCCGCGAACATGGTTTAAACCTATCCTGACGAACGACACAACCGTATGCTGTTGTGAGTATCGCATTTGTTGGTATCGTCTTCGGTTGAGCTCCTTATGGGGCACAAGACGTGCAAGGGGAGTGCCGAAATGGGTGCGGTGGTGTGATGCGAGCACAGGCCACTGGAGCCTTTGGTGGAGCTCCCTGAACGGCCACGAAACGTGTGAGTGGTGTGCCGAAATGAGTGCGGTGGTGCCATGCGAGCGCAGCCACTGGGGCTTCCGGTGGAACTCCGTATGGGGCCCCGAAGCGAATGAGGGGTGTGCCGAAAGGGGTGCGGTGGTGTCATGCGAGCGCAGCCACGGGGGCCTTCGGTGGAGCTCCCTACAGGGCCACGAAACGAGTGAGGGGCGTGCCGAAATGGGTGCGGTGGTGTCATGCGAGCGCCGCCACTGGGGCCTTCGGTGGAGCTCCCTACAGGGCCACGAAGCGTGCGAGTGGTGTGCCGAAATGAGTGCGGTGGTGTCATGCGAGCGCAGCCACTGGGGCCTTCGGTGGAGCTCCCTAAAGGGCCACGAAGCGTGTGTGGGGTTGGCCGAAATGGGTGCGGTGGTGTCATGAAAGCGCAGCCACTGGGGCCTTCGGTGGAGCACCCTAAAGGGCCACGAAGAGTGTGAGAGGTGTGCCAACATGGGCGCGGTGATGTCATGCGAACGCAGCCACTGGGGCTTTCGGTGGAACTCCCTTTGGGGCCACGAACGTGTGAGGGGCGTGCCGAAATGGGCGCGGTGGTGTCATGCGAGCGCCGCCACTGGGGCCTTCGGTGGAGCTCCCTACAGGGCCACGGAACGTGTGAGATGTGCGTGTGTGTGTGTGTGTGTGTGTGTGTGTGTGTGCCGAAATGGGTGCGGTGGTGTCATGCGAGCGCAACCACTGGGGCATTCGTTGGGTTTCCCTATGGGGCCACGACGCGTGTGAGGGGCGTGCCGAAACAAAGACATGCAGAGGGCATAGGCGAGAAGGGCGAGGAGGGAGGAGGGGCAATGGGAGGAGGATGGGGAACCAATGGAAGCGCTTCACGGATTGAGGGCGGTTCCTTTTCAACATGTGGATCTCGCCTTCGCGCCGCGCATATTTGAGCACAGATCAAGAATTTCACGAATTCCCACGGCTAACTGACCAGAAGCTGTGTTTTGGAAGGGTTCAAGACTTCCAGGGTGCAGCAGTTACTTTGATTCGCGGCGTTGAAGTCCTACGAATGGAGTTATCGTGCGACTTACGATCGTCAAGACGGAATAATCAAATTGATTCGTGCCAGTGGCGTCCCGAGAAAGGTGTTTTTGAGGGCTTCGGGATCTTCAAACGTTTGTCTCCCAAGGGGGGACTTTCCTCAGTGAAAATGGATCCTTGTAAGGGCCCATGAAGATGGAGCTTGGAGGAAAGGTTTCTTCCAACATCGTTGATGGGCCTTGGGTTTGCACTTGTCCTCCTCCTCCTCCTCCTCCTCCTTCTCCCCCTCCTCCTCCTCCTCCTCCTCCTCCTCCACTTCCTCCTCGCGCATCTGGCTGAGCTGGGGTCGTGCGTCGGGGCGGTCCGTCCGCATGCGCCGGGTGGGGCAACGATAATCGGGGAGACGTAAGACTCGGGTACGGGGGACTCGGGTTGGCCTGACGGGGCCACCGCAAAAAGGACGTGACCCAATCTGAAAGTTGACGCGAGTTCCCGCTGCAGACATCCCACGAAAACTGGACCGTCAACATCCAGGACGCGCTCGCCAAAAAACTTCGGCGAACCCGAGCTCCGGCTCAGTCGAGTCTCACGTTTCCCCGAGAGAAAGGGGGCAGTGGCCCGATGGGGGGGGAGCATCGACCTTGAATCGGCGATGCATCGCAAGTAGGTCGGCCATGGACCCCGATGGCGAGCCCGCACGGTCCTGGACGGGGCGGGCTCTCGGGCC